CTCTCCCTTCCTCTCTGAAATCAACTAATATATATGTAATACATGTGCATTTGCATACATATATGTGTGAGTGTGTGTGTGTATTTTTACATATATATGTATGTATGTGTATAAATACTAGCAACCCAGTACATGAAATCCATGCACAGGTAGGGTACCTAGCAGCTGCCAGCTGCCAGCCAGGGTCTCCCTTCATTTTACACTGCCCCCTGGTGGTCAACACATGTCAAAGCGAGCGATTCAACTCCCAGTTGGTTGAACTTCTGAGGGGATACTTTGCATATTAGGCTTTTATATCCTATCTAATAAAGAGGGGAATATGCTAATTGACCCTCACACCATCACAAAGATGATGGTGCCCACAGCCAATAAGGAGGGAATATGCTAATTGACTGCCCCGCACTCAAAGATGGTGGCACCCACAGTCACAAGATGGTGGCACCCAGTCCCCACAGCCCCGCGGGGGCAGTAGGTGCATGGCAAGGCCGGGCCCATGTGCTTACCTCTGAAGTCCACCGGGCACTCAGCCTCCCCAGCTGCTGCCCAGGGCTGGCCTGAGGTGCAGGCAAGCCTCGGATGGCGACTGCCTGGCTTCCAAGAGCCCCCTGAGGCTTATGTTGCTGGAAGTGGCAGCAGCAGAGGTGCGATGGGGCGTCACCTTCCCCTGACCTCCAGATCGCCTCCCGCCACTGAGGCTCCTGGACTGAGAGAAAGGGCGGGCAGGGCTGAGGAGCCCCGGCTCCAGTACATGAATTTTCATGCACCAGGCCTCTAGTATATATATATAGAATACACACATATTTGGTAGAAGCTGGTGGACATTGCCTTTATTTTTTAAATATACTTTTGATTTCAGACATTCTTGTAGGCATTCTGGTGTATGGTATTAATCAACTGACACTTCACCTCTCTCCTACTTCTATTTTCATCTACCTGATTTAATAGTTACTTATATTAATCTACTTATATTACAAATCCTCACAAAATGAACATAATTTAATATGTTGATCACACATAAATGGTGTAAAAAAATCTGGGGAAATGCTCTTTTTTGATCTATATTTTAGAAAACAATGAAAGACCACATTGCCATTCACATCTTTTGAAAGACATCTTACTTTCTTTCAAAGGACAAAACCCACTGACTTAAAAGTGTGGTGGTAAAGGACAAGATCTTTTTGCCTTACTTTCTTCATCTATAACTTGCTAAAGTGTCAAGAATGACATACTAGAGGATGTGACAATTAATAAATGATCAATACTATTACTATGAATATCACTATTTAAGAATGATCTACGCGTTTATTGTAAAATTTTGTCTCTTCCAATAGAAAATAAGCCCCATGATGCTGGAATCTTACCTGTATATACATTTAGGCAACTTCCAAATGTGTCTTAAGTGGAGCATTTAAAGCAGTCTCTTGGTAAGGATGGGACTTCTCAAAGTATTTAGGGTCAAAGGAAATCCCTCTAACAAATGCTAAAACTGAAATTGCCTCAATTTCCAGCACTAGGGGAAATTTTGAAGACTGCCCAGCAGAACAAAGCATATGATGACAATATAGGTATAATAAGCACCAAAACAACTGCATAAGTATTTTAATCCTAGTCTATGGATACCTTATTATGTGATATAGCATTGTGAGGGTTAAACAAGATAAAAAAAAAAAAAGCAAAATCCATTTATTCTGCAAACTTATTTGTCAACACAAGGTTTCTGGGGGTTTATAAAAATTAATACAGTGTTTAAGTCAAGTTATAGCCCAACTATATCAGGGGAAAGGAAGGTAAAAAATAAAGGAGGGTAAAAATGTACTGTGCACCAACATTTTACATATCATGCAGCTGTATTATTTTAACAACCCCGCAAAAAATATATCTATCACAGAAGGGATGAATATTCCTCTAAAACACATGTGTCAAACACAAGGCCCGCGGGCCAAATCCGTCCCGTCAGGCCTTGCAATGTGGCCCGCACCACGCTGTCATCACTGCACTCCGCTGCGTTTCCATCACAATGACAGTTTATGACTGTTCAGTAAACCATTCGGCCCGCGATTTAGGCTGGATTTTAGATTTTGGCCCCTTCTCTGATTGAGTTCGACACCCCTACTCTAAAAGAATGACCAGAAAATGTATATAAACAAAAATTAAAATTCACCAAGACCGGTTTGGCTCAGTGGATAGAGCCTCGGCCTGCGGACTGAAAGGTCCCGGGTTCGATTCAGGTCAAGGGCATGTACCTTGGTTGTGAGCACATTCCCAGTGAGGGGTGTGCAGGAGGTGGCTGATCGATGTTTCTCTCTCATCGATGTTTCTGTCTATCCCTCTTTCTTTCTCTCTGTAAAAAATCAATAAAAGATATATTAAAAAAATTAAAATTCTATAGTACACAATAGACTCTTTTATCAGTTTGATGAAAATGATAGTTTAAACCAGGGGCTATTTTTAAGAATTTAAAGCATTTAAATAGCATTATAGCAAAGGTTAGTGATATTTACATAGTTACCATAAAATTAAGAATTAAGCCCTTATGTATTTTATATAATAAAGTTGATTTTCTGTTAAAGTCTATCTTAATAGTAATATTCAGATATTTGAGATTATGAATATGGAACAGCATTTTTTTTTATATGTAATAAAGGTTAACTTTTATTTTTATTAGTAGTAGTAGTAAAAGAAAATAGCAAAGGCTAGTGGTAATGTCTATTAATTTGCTTGGGTTACTGTAACAAAATATCAACAGACTGAGTGTTTTCAACAGCAGAAAATGTATTTTCTTACAGTTCTGGAGGCTGAAAGTCCAAGATCAAGGTGTGGCAAATTTGGTTTTGATGAGGCCTCTCTCCTTGGCTTGTAGATGGATGCCCTCTCTCTGTGCCTTTACAAAGTCTTCCCGCTGTGTGGGCACATCCCTGGTGTTTCTTTGTATGTCCAAATTCCTCTGCTGCTAAGGATACCAGTCCGATTTGATTAGGACTTACTCTAATGACCTCATTTTAACATAATCACCACTTAAAAGCCCTCATCTCCAAATACAGTCACATTCTGATGTGATTGGCAGTTCGAACTTCAACATAAGAAGTGGGGGGATGGCACATTTCAGCTCACAACAGAAGCCAATCTCAGGGCCAGGATCTCTGAGGGTCAAACAGAGAAGGCCCTCCTCAGGAGCCAGAAATAAAGGTGGGACCCAAGCGTGTCTGGGGAGCAGTGGGCCACACTGTGGCTGCCCAGGCAACTCATCCAATTGGATCTTGCCACGGTGCTAAGAGCAGTGCATCTAGTTTTATAGCCCATAGTGGGTCTGACTGACCCAGCCTGACCGATGTGGGTGAGACCAGCTCAATGGGTAACAAGAGGAAGTGAGTATGGGAGATCCCGAAAGGAAAGAACATGTGGTGAACAGCGTTTTTAAATGTTTGACCACATAATGTTTAAACTATGTTTGCCTTAGGAAGTTAAATTTGCTTATCAATATTGTGGTAATTTAATCACTATGACTTCACGAATTTGGCTTCACTTAGTCTGCGTAAGACGGTTGATTCTTTTAAAATTAGGAATATGCTCATTTTTCCCCCCTCGAAATACCTATTGTGTAGTAATATAGTTAAGTGGCTGAGATTAACTTGAAAACAAATTGCTGTGCTTTCCATGCAACCAATTTAATTGTGCCACACATTGTTTTAACCCCTGGGAAACAGCCATGTACAAAACACAAGATTCCAGCATCACGACACTTTATTTTCTATTTTGAGACAAAAAAATTAAAAAGGTACTTTCACATAGGGATAAGTGTCTTGAAATATATACAGGGCAACAAGGCAGTGCATAACCAGCAGGGGTGGGTGATCAAGGAAGGCCTCTCGTGAGTTTGCGCTAAGACCTGAAGCAGCACGTCAGAGATAAACACAGTTCATGCCGCGGCGAATGCAGGTGCGGACTCCTTCTGGGACCAGACTGATTCTTGGTGTCGATGTCTGCACATCTCTATGATGCAGACAAACCTCAATTTCTAAAATGCTTATTCTACTGTATTCCTGACGAGAATCTGCGGGTCAAAGGTTAGTGGGGCCAAGCAACTGATTCCGAAGTTGGTACTTGCCTTCGTGGTGCTGGGGACAAAAAGGTATCGCAGGCAAGGAACGCTGCGCTCCGGTAACGGTGAGGGCAGCACTGAAGACGTGTTGGCCTCCTTTTGGCCTCATCCGGGAAGGCACCGAGAGGGAATCAGAAGACCAGCGTCCGTCTGTCCTTCCCACGTTTCTTCCCACTAACAACACATGGCCCGGGTTTCGAGTTGGGGGGGGGGGGGGGTGTGGGGTAATGGGGGGGAGTAAGAAAGCAAGCAAAAGCCTCCAAGGCTGTTTTTTTTTTTGTTTGTTTGTTTGTTTTTATACGGAGTGTAGTTTCCCCATGTGGTGTTTATGTCTTTTTTAAAAAATATTTACTGATTTTTCACAGAGAGGAAGAGAGAGGGACAGAGAGCCAGAAACATCAATTAAAGAGAACCATCGATCAGCCAGCTGTCTCCTGCACACTCCCCACCAGGGATGTGCCCATAACCAAGGTACATGCCCCTGACCGGAATCGAACCCGGGACCTTTCAGTCTGCAGACCGAAGTTCTATCCACTGAGCCAAACCGGTTTCAGTTCTCAAGGCTTTCTTGACTGTTAAGATGCAAACAAATACGCGATGATTTCAAGGCAAGGAGTAAACGTGCAGGTGCGGAGGAAGACAACAAGAATACACCCCGGGGTGGCCGGTCTAGGATGGAGGGGATCACTGGGTAAAAAAAGGGGACATCTGTAATACTTTCAACAATAAGGTCCATTTACAAAAAAAAAAAAAAAAAAGAATACACACCAGAATTCACCTGCAGCCATTTCCTCCCCACACCAGCCCAGCCTAAGTCCCGGGACTCAGAATCTCTGGATTCGCGCTCCGCGGGCGTCACTTCCGGTGCTTCCGCGCCGGCGCCCATAAATGACGTCCACGAACTTCCGGGTCACCGAGGCCGCCGGTGGCGGCGCAGGCGTCGTCGCTCGCAGGTACCTCGCAGGTACCCGGTCTATGGAGTCCGTTGGTGCCGGCGCGGAGGCAGGAGACGCGGTCCGAGTAGGGGCCTGTGCCCCGCCAGGATGTTGCCGGGCTTGGCCGCCGCCGCTGCGGCCCACAGACGGGGCTGGTCCTCCCTGTGCCGGCTCCGTCTGCGCTGCGGGGCGGCGGCCCGCGGCTCCGGCGAGCTCCAGGGTGAGTGTGGCGCCCCGCCGGCCGCCGGTCCCGCGGGGGCCGGGCTGCAGGGCCAGGCCGAGCTGGGCGGGCTCGGCGCCTCTCCGCGGGCAGTGCGCCCGCGAGCCCCCTCCCCGGACCCCGAACCCTTTCGGGGCTCCGCCTTTGCATCTTGGCCTGCTCCCCCTCCTTTCCCCCATCCCCCCTGCCGCATCCAGGGGGGCTCCGGACAGGCCGTGGTGACCCTGGTGTCGCCTACGATCCCAGAAAGGGCAGGTCTCGCAGGAGCTGGCGGACAGGGTCACCACCTTGAAGCCGTCCCCTTGGTACCTAACAGACATGAAGTGCACATCGCCGGGTCTGGCAGTGACACCCTCTCCTCTCCCCCCGCCTAGGCAGTGGGGAATGGCTGGTTCCTCCAAGTCCCAGGTCTTTTTAATACACACACACACACACACACACACACACTTTATTGACTTTTTTTACAGAGAGGAAGAGAGAGGGATAGAGAGCCAGAAACATCGATGATATAATAGAAAAACATCGACTAGCTGCCTCCTGCACACACACACCCCCTCCCCACCGGGGATGTGCCCGCAATCAAGACACATGTCCTTGACCGGAATCGAACCTGGGACCCCCAGTCCACAGACCGATGCTCTATCCATTGAGCCAAACCGGCCTCGGCAGTCCCAGGTCTTTTGAGCTAACGACTCACCTTCAGTGCAGCTGAGTAGATTTTCTTGCCCTGCTCCTATTCCCAACTTGTTTTCTTACATTTCCTAAAAAGATGAAGGCGCGCGGGGGCGGGTGTGTGTGTGTGTTGCTATTTGACATAAGTCATTCTGAATTATGAGGGTATGGCCATCTCACAGGCATTGGATGGAGCCCAATATTTTGGCTGAAAAAAACAAAAGAACCATCTTTTATTTTTCCATTGAACAACCTTTTTGGTGGAAAAGTATCTACCGAGGCTGTAATTTTTTAATTTTTTAATTTTTTTTTATCCCTCTACTTCAACATTCTTTTCTAATTCAAATTGTACGAAAGCTTCCAAAATAGTTTTGGGCCTGTAAGTTTTAATCAGGTTTGCCTCCCTTCTGGCCCTAGATTGGCCTGCCACAGCGTGACACTGGAAAATTGTGATGGAAACAGTGAGGGGGGAGACTGATCCAAACCCATCCTTATCCATCCTCTTGAGGATACAAAGAGTATTTGCAGGAACATTTTTCAAAAATTCATGTTTGAAACACTTGTAGGATGCTTGTGACCTCGAAACAGAAGTTGTAGTCAAGTTTATTCAAATGTATACTGTAAGCTCTGGCAGCGCCTATGCTGTGCAAATAATACATTTGTATTTTCTATTTGCAATAAAGGTAAAAACAGGCTCTTAAATTTTCAGAAATGTTCTTGAGGCTTTTTGGTGGTGATGGGAAAGTATAATTGTTGATTTTTTTTATATTGGTAATATGCCTGATTCTCTTATGACCAGAATGAATCTTTTGGTTATACTCACTTTAAAATACCCAAGTAAGGCCCTAACTGGTTTGGCTCAGTGGATAGAGCGTCGGTCTGCGGATCGAAAGGTCCCTGGTTCGATTTCAGTCAAGGGTATGTACCTTAGTTGCGGGCACATCCCAAGTGGGGGGTTTGCAAGAGGCAGCTGATCGATGTTTCTCTCACATTGATGTTTCTAACTCTCTATCCCTTTCCTTTTCTCTCTGTTAAAAAAAAAAAAAATCAATAAAATATATATTTTTAAAAATACCCAAATAAGCCCCCAGCAAGTTTGGCTCAGTGGATAGAATGTTGGCCCACAGACTGAGGTGTCCACGGTTGGATTACATTCCAGGGTACATACCTCAGTTGCAGGCTCAGTCCCACCAGGCTCCTGCAGGAGGCAACCAGTCCATGTGTCTTTCTTACACTAATGTTTCTCTTTCTGTCTCTCTCCCTCCTTTCCATTGTCTAAAAGTTCATGGAAAAATATCCCCGGGTGAGGATTAACAACAAAAAATACCCAAGTAAACTTTATAGCATTGCCTCTATTGACCACATAATTTCTGCACTTTGCATTTAAATTAGTTATAGTGGCTGTTGAATTTAGGCAAAACTACCCTTCATATGTTGGTTAAAAAGGAGTTGAAATAGTGTAACATGTAATCCTATTCTCTGTAACTGTCATGTCAAAAATTATGTTCTCTTATCATCTGGGAAACATGAATAATAATTTCCTATCTCACCAGTCAGAATGACTTGGCAGAGTTATTTGGAATGTTCATTACTAAAAAATTAAAATATGTTTTCATACTTAAAAACACTTAGTGGGTTTTTAAAATAACCTTGTTTCTGAAAATTTAGGTTCAGTCATACTGAAACTGTTTTAAAAGGGCTACTATTATATAATTATGGTAAAACTTAAAAATCATTTAGAAAAAGTGCTGTTTAAGTGTAAGAAGAAAATATTTGAAGAACTTTTGGGAAAAAATTCTAAAAACATACTTTTTTGTCAAGAAATAAAGTTTAGTCTATGCTTATAAAATTCCTGTGTGGGAGAATATGGGATTGGGAAGAATTTGTGAAGAGTAAAGAAAGGAGGAAACCTTGAGGGAAACAATTGCTTCATTTGCATACTTAAAATGAGAACTATCTGTCAAACTTAACATGGAAAATATTTAAAGGTGAAAGGGAAACAGTATATGAGATCTGTACTGTCCAAAAGTGAGCCATGTATATATTTTTCAGTTATCTGATAGCCATATTAAAAAATAGAAATGAAATTAACTTTAATATATTTTATCCAGTATATTAAAAATATTTCAACATGTAATCAATATAAAAATTATTGACATATTTTACATTATCCTATTAAAAATATTTTTATTGATTTTCAGAGAGGAAGGGAGAGGAAGAGAGAAATAGAAACATCAGTGATGAGAAGGAATCATTGATTGGGCCGCCTTCTGCACGCCTTCCTAATGGGGATCGAGCTCACAACTCAGGCACGTGCCGTTGACCGGAATCGAACCCAGAACCCTTCAGTCTGCAGGCCGACACTCTATCCACTGAGCCAAACCTGCTAGGTCTAATTTCTCTTTTTGTACTAAATTTTTGAAGTCCAGTGTGTATCTTACACTTACAGCACATCTTAGTTTAGAGTAGCCACATCTCAAGTGTTCAATGAACAGTGACTCCTTTATCGGATGCAGTTAGAGTTAATATCCCTAGTTTAAAAAGAATTTTTATAAACCAATGTACATTTCAGTGGAAAAGTGGGCAAAGGAAGTAAATAAAGAGTTCAAGTGGCCAATAAAAATGCAAAGAATGTTTTATACTCACTAATAAGCATAGAAATATAAGTTTAAAGGGTTTACTCCTCATCGCCTGTCTGTGTTGGCTAAGTTTTTCATAATGATGCCTCATATTGAGAGTCCAGGAAAGCAGGAACTCTCTTACTACTGATTGGGACATAAGTTGACCAGTGTTTTATTGGTCAGTTATTCTTTGTATAAAAATAACTTTAAAGGTTACAAACTTTTATAATAACTTCTGACCCAGTAATTCTACTTAAAGGGATTTACTTTAATGGAATAATCAGGCATATATTAAAATGTGTGCATAAGTTCATTATTCATAGTAATAAATAGGCAACATAATTATAAGTAATTAAAAACTGAAATATAGTAAATTTATTATGGGCTGATGATATATGCAACCCTTTTTAAAAAAATATATATCTTATTGATTTTCCACAGAGAGGAAGGGAGAAGGATAGAGAGCTAGAAACATTGATGAGAGAGAATCATCGACCAGCTGCCTCCTGCACACCCCCTACTGGGAATGTGCCCACAACCAATGTACATGCCCTTGACTGGAATCGAACCTGGGACCTTTCAGTCTGCAGAGCGACGGATGCTCTATCCACTGAGCGAAACCAGTTTCGGCTATGCAACCCTTTTTTAAAGTAATAATTTAGAATACTTAGTGACATGGAAAAATGCTTTTGTACTTTTAGGTAAAATTAGAAAAAAAAATAGTAAGAAAATATACTGTGATATTAACTGAGTTTCTCTAGGAAAAATATTTAGCTTTGTGTTTTTCAAATGATCTACAATAAACATATACTTTTAAATAATAAAATGTTACTTAGCTTTTATAGTGAATATATCTTTTTTGTTTTAAATTTCTTTGGCTTTGCATAAAACACTTAACTTTTTCTTTTTTAAAAATATATCTATTGATTTCAAAGAGGAAGGGAAAGGGAAAGAGATGGAAACATCAATGATGAGAGAGAATCATTGATTGGCTGCCTCTTGCAAGTCCCCTACTGGGGATCAAGCCCACAACCCAGGCATGTGCCCTTGACCGGAATCAAACCCGGGACTCTAGTCCGCAGGTTGACGCTCTGTCCACTGAGACAAACTAGCTAGGGCTTGTTTTTTTTATATATTTATAAAAATATTGACTAAAATTTGAGGTCAGAGGATGCTCCTTTAAGTATTTACCGCATATCAAATGTACAGACACCTGCTTTTGTTTAAATTTGAGATTAATGAAAGTTTTAAAATAAAAATATAGAAATTAAAGCTTTGTATTTTATTCCTAAAATTGCTCATATTTGCTACCATAAAAAAAGTAGAGTAGGGATTTTAACAATTTAACTTTTGTCCCAGAACTCCCTCCCTTAAATAACGAATAGGAACATTGACAATTATAAGAGACCATTTTGGCAGATAGCATGATTCTGTGTAGTTCAAGTTAATGATCGGACTTATAACTGTAAAATGAGGGTAACCTTAGTACGTTCTTTGTAGAGTTGTTGTGAGTAAGGGTTATTCAATAAAGAGGTGCTAGACATTGTAGTTCCTATGGTGTAATGCTGAACAAGAGACACAGTTTTCACCTTTATTGGGCAGACGCTAGGAATGAGAAAACGTAAGTGTTGTGCGAGAAGTACGCAGGGTCCTGGGCTAGAAAGTAGCCAGCATGGACTGTTTCATTACATATGCTAGCCTGGGACT